GCCTAACCCTCACCATTTGCTCTGTAGGTGTTATTACTCCTGCTTCATAACGGGGTTGACTGAGGACGTTAGGTTGGGGGGGTCAGATCCTGACAGAAGCCTGCGCGGCCCCTTGATACCGCTGAGTCCCTTGGGCATTTTCTTCCCTTTTGTTCTCTGAGCGGCCCAAGAGACCATAGCTCGCAGGCCACTGAGGACAATCAAGAGCTGGAGCCCTCAACCAGCAACTACCATGTCTGTGAGCCGGCAACAGGCGCCCTCGATGCTCGATGCCCACCAGCGGTCATCCTGACATTCTGAGCCTGGAAGCTGCGAGGAAGCCCCAACCCACACCCTGTCACTGTCCCTAAATCATCAGTCAGAACCCTCAGACTCTGCCCACGCTCAAGGCCATTGCCCAGGCCTTTCTATGTGCCCTAGTGCTCATGGGCACAGGGCAGGGTCACTAGGGATATGGCTGAGGCGGAGAGTCCTCGCACCCTCAGTGGGCAGGCGGGGGCGGGGAGGGAGGCAGGCAATGGGTCTCCTGGCCCCCAGAATCTTCACATTCTTTCTCCAGGCTCTCTCATGGCCTCTTCTGTAGTCACTCGTCCTTCCCTCTCCAAGCAGCCACGCCTCGTTGCCGGCCTCCAGGCTCAGGTGTGCTCACCTGCACATGCCCACACCGTACTCCAGGTGGCTACCATTAGGCGCGTCCTGCACCCACACTCCCAAGTGCTTCTTCAGCGACCGATCAGGGCCACAGGTGGTAGCCACAGAGGCTAATGGCGTAAGAATTCTGATGAATTCCACGTACCCTACAATACCCAAGCCAGAGTGGATGCAAAAACTCGATTCCAAATTGACTTGCTACGTCCACAAAGAAATGTCTCCTATGAAATACATGCACGTGTGTGTGTAACACAGTCTGTTCTTTCTATCTGTGAGGTTGGATTTGTCTTATTTTTTAGACTCTAAGTATTTAGCATGATCACACCACATTTGTTTTTCTGGGTGACCTATTTTACTTCATATAATGCGCTCAGAACTAACATGCCATCTTTGGTATCACCAATGACCAAAACTTTCGTTATTTTTATAGCTGAATGATATCCATTTTGTGTGTGTCTTTATTAAATGTATGCTTTTATAGATCACATTTCTTGATCCATTTGTTGAATGATTCTTAACTTGTTTTCAGATCTGACCATTGTAAATGATGCTGTTGTGAAGTTAGGTGTGCGTACAGCTGGGTGTTTTCATTTTCTTCAGGGGAATACAGAGCTAGAATTGATGGATCACATAGTAACTCTAATTTTCTGACAGTAACTCTAATTTTCTGAGGAACCTCCATACCTCTTTCCATAGTGACTGCACCAATGTACATCCCTGTCAAGATTTTCTTTTAAAAAATATCGTCCAAACTCTCCTGCATTGCTGGTGGGAATGCAAACTAGTACAACCACTATGGAAAACTGTTTGGAGGTTCCTCAAACTGCTAAACATGGAGCTTCCC